GGGGGCGTGGGAGACAAGTGTCTCTCATAAGCACACTGGTTTAGGAACATGGCAAGGGCATTGCAAATCATGTTTGGCCAAGCCGAATTTCTGTATCAGAAAGCTGTGGATCAGAAGGCAGGTAGCCTGCGAACAGGCTCTCAAGCTGAATTGAGAGCCTGCATCGATGACTAATGAATTTGAATATTCGTTCGTTTTTCCAAATATGGAATGTCTATCCTTATATGGTGTTGTTTACAACTTTCGTGCAAACTAAATTTAGACCGTGCAAACTAAATTTAGACCGTATAGTTTATACTGTTTTTCGAAATATAAGATATTCAAGCAAAAGTTCAAATGTTTTAAATACTGTTTTCTCAAAACAGAACATTTCGTGCTTTGAGTTAAGACGTCCAAGACCAATTTGATCAGTTAATCAGTGTTTTTTATGCATAGTGCTGCAGTTGACATATATAGAGCTCAGCGTAAACATATAAATTATAGCATCTGACCAATGAGAATTTCGCGTCACGATTTGAGACGCAGATATTCAAATTCATTAGTCATCGATGCAGGCTCTCAATTCAGCTTGAGAGCCTGTTCGCAGGCTAGAAGGCAGGGTTCGAAATAACGTTCTGAAAATATGTCAAATTTTGTAGGCTGTTTTTTGTAGGTGAAAAATTTTGCCGGCTATTTTCCAAGCGAAGTTTAGTTATGTTCTGGAGTGCGCATGGGCCAAATAATAGAGATGTAAACCAACACAACATGTGTAGGAATAAACATTAACAAGTTCTGTCTGTGTATAAGTATTGTGTTATTGTAAGCGAGTCATTGGTGAATAAATATAATATTTTCGCTGATCCCCTATGCTTTGAAATTAAAAATCGCCGGCAGAGTCCTAAAACTGCCGGCTATCGCCGGAAGCCAGCGGCTATTTCGAACCCTGAGAGGGGTTCATTTCACATTTCGAGCAAAGGCCCTTTGTAGAGAAATTAGTGACTAATTAGGTCACCCCTGATGAAGACACTGACTGAAGTGATAAAACATTTCTGATAAGAGTAATGAAGGATTCAGGATTTCTAGAAGTCGTGGGCCACAGAATGAGAGAAATCTATGGAAAACATATTGGATAGTAAGAAAATTAGAGCATGAAATTTGGTATGCAAAAAAGGCTATTGTAGATCCTATTATCAACCACTCAAGTAGGAACAAATTGAATTTCTTTGGCGACTTTCCAAATGTTACAAGGATTAGAGTTAGCATCAGGATTAGCATCAAGACAAAGACTTGAGGATTAAAGATTGCATAAAATTGAGGATGTTAACCCATTGTGCCCTAATGCACCCTACTTCATTATTTTACTCTGTCTAACAGCAGACAATTTTACTGGTCAAGGGGATAGCGCTAGCCCATGTGTTTAGTCAATCCATTATTAAGTTGCATTGCACCCTATGACCCTAATGTACTCTATTTCATTATTTTACTGTCTAATGCCAGACAATGTCACTTGCCAAAGGAAGAGCCGCTGGCACTCGAAGGGTTAATATATTTCCGACAGTGCAGAAAACATATAAGCCCCATCTATGACGCTTTATTGAAACTCGAAAAACTTCTTACAGCATCCTTTTCATGTCATAGTAACAAAGCAAAAATGTTTTGTTGAGTGTTCGCGATAAACCTGTATATCGATCTATCGCACAACCATTGTTCGCTTGTCGTGTCTTGTTAAAAGCAAGACAAAGGCTGCGATATTGACTCTGAAAGCATAAAGAATACTTAGACTTGTGGTTAGCGATCAGACTCGAGATTATGACCGGTTACATTTCTGTTTTGAAAAGGACATGTCATTTCAAGTATTTTCGATATATAATACACAGTGAAATAACTAGACTGAATACCCTTCCCCTAGTACGAAATCTAGATTATATAAAGGCAAATTTTCCGCGTAGGTCGTTTCGAAATGGCTCACATACGGAGGTGTCATGTAATAGCTTACGATAATTATCGGAAAACATAATTATAAGTTAGCGGACCATAATAATTCGTTTATTGTCATTTAACGTCCACGCTGTACGTCGACATTTTGAGTTGCAAGTCAATATCGTTTTTAGACGTTGATAGAAGGCATTTCAACAGTTTTGAGAGCTTATATGACATACGGAACTCCATATATAAATGTTTGTATGCGCTATTCACAGCAAACACAGTACGGTGCGAACAAGAACACTATTCTATTTTCAGCGAAACCGCTCGAGGAAAATATTGGTTTTTACTTCACCTGTTTTCTCCTTTATTTCGCAAAGGACACTGAATAAAGCTGGCTTCATCCGATGACAGTTTAGCGAGTGCTTCCTACACAAAA